CTCGGGGATGAGCCCAGTGTGGGCTCTCCTGCCCGACTTGGGGCTCCACGTTCCTGCCGGCAAGGACGCTGGCGTGCGTCAGCGCCCGTCCCCAAGCAAGAGCCTCGGAGGTAAATAAGAGGCAGGTGTAAATCAGAGCTCATTTAGCAAGGCTGGAAAGTTTGTTGCTTTCAGGGACTCTGCATACCAGGAGGGGACCTTCCTGGGATTTGTACCAGCCAAGTGCTGGAAATACCCAATTCTGTCTGGTTTTTTTTTGCTGCTCTGCAGTAAAACATCAGATGGCTGCTAGGAAACATCCTGTGCTCAGCCTTGGATCTCAAGAAGAAGCTCCCCGGGGCAGGCGGCAGAGCAGGGTGAATGGTTCCTCGCTGCCCCAAGGAAAGGAGTGACCCAAGGTGGCTCCATCCCTGAGACCTGTCCCCACGATGGTCACCCAGAAGAGGTTTACTGCCTTGAGATGCGGTGCTGGGAGAGGAAGGTTGGAGAGGAAGGGCAGTGCAGGGAGCCTCTTTTGGGGAAGGCACATTGGGGTGCCCACTGTGGTGGTGGTGGCACGGGGCTGGTCAGTGCTGGTAGAAAGCTGTGAGCACCCAGGATGGTTTGCTGGAAGAAACAGTGCTCTGCCTGGTTTCCCCACAAAAACATCCCCTCTGTGCTTTCAAACCAAAGGCAGGATGCACCCACCTCCTCCTGGCTTGCACCGGCAAAGCCCCAGGGAGGGCAGTGGGGTGACCAGTGTGAGACCCTCTGTACCGGTGGTGGGAAGCAGCGATGGATGAGGCCAGTCTCGCGCAGTGCTCCTGGAAAAGCATCCCCTTGGCTGTACAGACCTGGGCAGAGGGTGAGCAGAGAGAAGCCCCTACCCCAGCCCCACCTCAGCCGGGGGGTCTGGAGCCACCTAAAAGCCACAGACAACACCCGAGGCCAAGGAGATGGGCAGCACTGAGCCCGTCCATGGTGCAACAGGCCGGCTACCTTGCACACCGGATATTTAAGCGAGGCGTTCTGCTGGCACAGCCATATTTAATGCTACAGGCAGAGTGTTTCCATGAGCTGGGTTTAGAAAGATGCTGCTCAAAGGGAGCAGCCGCTTCCCTCCCTGTCTCCAAGGGTTTGGCCCACGGTCAGCATCTAAAGCATCCATAGGGTTTGCTGCCGGGGCCCGGATCCCACCGTGTCCTCCCAGGTGCTGCAGCTTGTCCTGGCTCCCGGGTCACCCCGCAGAGCACAGTAGCAGGACCTGTGGCCATGGGGGGGGTGGAGCAGAGGGTTTAACCCCAAACCTGGTGTGCTCCTTCGGTTCCCAGGCCACCTCCACTTTCATGGCGTCTCCAGGTATTCCTGGGGAGGAGATCAAGGTGCTTGCCGGCTTTAGACAGCCGGGGCATCCCAGCGGCCTGGTTCCCCCGGGCC